TGGAAGAGTGGGTAGTTTTAGATAGTTTTTTCTTACAAATGTTTGCCTATAAATAGCCATTCATAGCTACATTGTAAAAGGGGTCAGAACTCAAATCAAAGACAATTGATTTATATTTTTCTTATCATTTATATGTCCTGCATTTTATTTTATGCACTTTCTTTTCAAAGCATTTATTTTCAGCATTTCTTTTTCGAAACATTTTGTGCATTTTATTTTCAAAGCATAGGAGTAGAGGTAAGTAATTGTTACTTTGATTGTTCATTCAATCATCTTTCTCCGTCTCCCTCATTCTTCTTTTAATTTTTTTTCTCTAACACTTGGCAATTTTGAAGTCCTCTTCATTGAGGCAAAAGAATCGTGAACGCAATCGCTTGATAATTGGCTTGAATTTTATCCGTAAGGATTTTTTGATCTTTGCTGGCACGCTCGTATTTATGATATTTTCCTTCGTAAGAAAAATAAGCCAACAATGACTAATAAATTTTACCAATTAAATTAGATTACTCATCAACTAAGTTAGGTTACTTTAAAAAAAAAGTACTCAATGCACAAGATTATCAAAACACCTTATCAACTAACTTCTTACTTTTACAAAGATTAATTACATTAAAAAAGGTTATAACTAAGGCATAAGACTCTTACTTATAGCAATAAGTAGACAATCTTAACCAAGGGCGCTAATTTTTTTGGCCACCAAGTCTCTTCTAAGGAGAAGGTCTTAGGGTCCACTCTTCGGAATGGAATGAGAGGACAAGATTTTCTTACAATGTGTATGAGTGTGAGTTTCAATTCCCCAATGTGATAATCTAACAATTAATTATTGACTCTCACGGATTAAAAAAAAAAGTAGACAGTCTTATCCTTACTTTTTGTATTTTGTTTTTATTGTAAAAAATGCTAATTTTTATGACTCAAATCCATACCACAATGGTAACGGAAATAGTACTTTCCTTTGCCTTAATTTTTTTAATCACTGGAAGAGAAATAGGAGGATTTGTTTCGCATAATGATGAGATTTTAACTTGAATACACAATCTTAAGTCTCGTATGATAAGTCGTTATGTGGTCAGACAATTGTGTGATCAGTTTAACCTCATTTTAATAATCATCCTACTAACATAAAAGGGGTTGTATTATAGAAATTTTATACCTAACATATTCAAAGTCATTACTTGTTTTGACCATACATTTTCAAAGTCCAATTACTTATAGAACTTGAAGTTGATGACATGAGTTTCACATTCTCTTTATTATACTCTAGTAACCGTTGTGCACATGAAATCTACAACAGAAGCAACTGGAAGATTTTTTCAGAGAAGAAAAAATTTGAATCAATTTTATATGGCATAATTGTTCTCAGTGGTGAAACTAGAAAATTAAATTAGAGGTGCACTTATTAATTATAATAACTTTTATAAAAATATTTCACGCAAGTTTTACAATTGATTTCAATAAATATCAAAAAAAAAATAATCTGTGTGTTTAGTTTCAGTTTTTTATTTTTCATATTTTTTTATTTTTAGTGAATATTTTTTGAATTTTAAGTAATTTTAAATGCACCTTACTTAGATATATTTAAATAAGGAAAAATTGGCCTAAGGTCCCTCCTCTACTTTTGATATGAGAAGAGGTCCTTTATAATATGTTTTGATGGCTAAGGTCCCTCAAATTTATTTTAGGTTATAAAGTACCTAAATTACCCTTCCTTTATAACATAAATTGTTTGAATATTATATTGTTGACTTAACTGATAAATTTTGGAAACCGAATTTGAAGTGGAGATTTTGTCGGAGTTTTCGTCGGAGATTTCAGTGGAGATTTCGTCGGAGATTTCAGTGGAGTTGACGAGAAAGATTGCTACGATCGTGTAGATTTTGTTGGAGATTTCGTCGGAGATTTCAGTGGTGTGATAGTGTATTGATCGCGTAGATTTTCAGTGGAGTTGAATCAGGTTTGTTTTCGATGGAGATAGCACATGCATTTTGATATTTGTTTTGAATTTTTGTGTAGAGAGAGGCCAGCTTGATAGAGTTGATTTTTATTTTTGGAATTAATTTTTCATTCTTTGTTTTTTTGATCAATTTCAGATAGTGTTGACAGTGTAGGTGATTTTGATGTTTAGAGTTCATTTTTGGTGCTCTGTTTTTTATCAACATGCTGATGAATTATAGTTGTGTTCTATGTTTTTTCAAACCAGAGAAATTTCATTTTCTGCACTATTGTTTGTGTAGTCCAGAGGAAATTATAAGTGCATATGGACATATTATTAGAAGTTTGCAATGGAGATAGAATATGAGAAAGTGAATGTAAGTTCATAAATTTCTCTATACTTGTATTTGTAGTTCAGAGAAAATTGTAAGTTTGTTACTCACTTTCAGTTTGTAGTTCAGAGAAAAGTATTTCTCTGGACTTGTATTCTATGTGATTTTTTTTCTATAATTGTGTTTAATTGTTAGCAGTAAATTTCTCTGTGATTCATTAAGTTTCTGTGATTTTGTTTTTTATCATCTTGAAGGTGAATATCAGTTTGTAGATGTCTTTGGAGTTTTATTTTAAGTTCAGAGAAAATTATAATTTTTAGAAATTTCTCTGACCAGAGATGTTGTTATTGTGAAGTGTTTGTGTGATTTTTTTTGTTGTTTTTTGTTTCAGTTTTAATGGACAGTGCAGTGTTGTTGCTGTGCAAATATGGGAATGATACTATTGTCATTAATGTTTCATGCGAATTGAATTTTGAGGAATTGGTTGGCATTTTGTGTAAAACATGGGAGAATTTGAAACCTGAGACTATGTGTATTTCATATTCTATTTTGGGCCATCCGAATTGTATGGCTCGAAATAATATTGATTTTCTGAATATGTTGAGGGTTGTTTGTCTGAATCATACACATTGAATCATATCATAATAAGAGGACATGCAAGGAACCTTTTGTAAATAGTTGAGGAATTATACATTTTATTGATGAAATAATCACTTGATGAATTACTTTGTGTATTTTGTTTTTGTGAAATTTATTTTTTTGGACAGTGTATATAATAATATCAATCAAATTCATCCAGAGAAATTTTTCAATATCAGTTAAAGTGTTTGTTGATATATACTATAAGCAGTGGTTTTGTAGTACCTGTCAAATTTCATCCAGAGAAATTTTCCGTATGGCAGAGAAAAATTCGTGTGTGTTGTGTTTTTGAAGCTTCATATTCATCCACATAAATTTTTTGACAATGGCAGACTTAAAGTACTATGTGGATTGTGTTTTTTGAATTTTGAATAATTGTTTTGTACTAACACAGTGCATTAGAGATTGGAAGATCATATAGGCACCTTCTTTGGTGAGATATGGAGTTAAATTTATCTGTAAATTTTGGTAGCTTTCATATCAGTCATTTCAAGAAATGTGCACAGCAGACAAAGCATTCAAAAATTATTGTACAACCAAGAAACAAAATCAAGCTCTTTTGGAATTTCTCTGATGTTTGGAGAATTTCTCTGGACAGGGAAGAATTTCTCTGGACTCACTTCAAACTCAGAAATTTGGTGTCAAGCCAGAAGAAATTTTCATCCAGAGAAATTTTCACCATCAGAGAAAACTATATAGGCACATTGTGTTCTGAATATTTTGAAAATTCATGCATATGAAAATTTTCCAATGGTAGATAAAATTACTGTGTGCTTTGTGTTTTGTTGAGTTTGATGATTTGTTTTTGCTACCAACACAAAGTTTTACAGGATTACATGATCAATATAGCATCCGCTTGGGACGATTACAAGTTAAATTTCTCTGTGGAATTTTCGGTATTTATACCAGAGAAATTTCTGCAGACAAATTTTCTCTGCAGACAATTTTCTCTGTGAATAACAATAAAAAATATTATATATATATATATTTAACCATCGATAGGTATGAAATTTACATTAGTCGAAATTAAAAAAAATGAAATTTAGATTAGTCAAGAAAGGATATATACATATACGTCAAGGATTCATCATGCCTTCAATGTATCAACAAGAAAGGATATATACATATATGTGAGACAATTTTCTCTGTTGTGGATATGTACATTGTCTTCCTTTCAACTAGTTTCACTTACATTTGTGGTCTCTTGGGGTATTTTCAATTGATTCAGTCCATGACCGGCCAACTTCAGTCCACAAATCTCTTCTATGAGTTCTGCCCTCATCAACCTTATCTCTTGTGTGGACAATTTGGAGCTGATAGGTTCATGCTTGCTATATTGTTCATTATATAGCAGACAAAGAGGCCACAATCCAGACTGCATACAAATTATAGGTATGGTTATTTTTAAGAAACATGCAATTGAAATTATCTTATTTATAGATGTATGAAACTTACGAATCGCTTTCTTGTTGTGGAGCATTGTTGACATACTCAAAGTCATAACTTGTGTTTTGTGAGTTTTATTAATTTGAAAGAGGGTTGTGATTGAGCATCTCTCTCAAGAACAAGCTTTCAAAAAATTCTCCACGTAATCTTGCCGCAAAAAAAATAATTTTTATATAACAGAGAAATTTACGGACAAAGTCAATGGGATTCTATTGAAAATTATCATCACATAAAGATGATGATGGATCAGAGAAATTTACACTCGTTACCAATTGTTTTGCACATCTTTTGACATATTTGTCTTCTGCATCATCCCTCCTTGGCCTCAGTGAGTTGTAGAAACCTCCATAAATGTCTTGTTTGTCCGAATGACAAGCAAGGTCCAGTATTTCCATGTGTGGACTTCTCATTACCTCTAGTATTTATGGAAATGGAGGAACCTAAGTTCCTCCCATGCTGTTTCAATATGCTTGTCAAATAAGGACACTCGAAAACTTTGATTTTCTTGTCATGTTGAATGAAATTCTGTGCTCAGAGAAAATCAAAAAATTTGTTTTTGTTAGTGACAACAACTGACTTCAAGAAAGTATATATTAAGAAGAGAAGTAGAAGTAAATTCCAGATAAAATCAAAAAAATAGTAGTAACATACTAAGCACATGGATGTGAAAAAAAATGAGGTTTGGTTGTTGTTTCTCTCTCATTTGGTCAGCCAAAAGGATCTTCCATAGCCATCAATGACCTTGAAAAATATTGATTTATAATTGTAATATTTTTATAAAGGCTGATGGAACATTGCAGAGAAATGTTGATGAAAGGGAAAAGACTTACATTGTTGGCAATTTCTTTTTGCTTTATGAGGTTTCCAATGTCTTCAAAGGTAATGATATTCAATTCACTTGTCCAAATTAAAGCTCTACAAGATGACAAAGAAGGGATTGAATTGTTGTTAATGAAACATAAGTTTGTAATTTGTTGTTTGTTATGTTCTTTTGTTTGTTGTACTTACTCAAGCCCAGACACATTTGATATGTACTGCAAGATGTCTTTATATGATCTTTTATCAATCTTGAAATGGGAAGAGTTGTGGAAAGACCCAAGATTTTCTGATGTTTACAGGTTGAGGCAAGACGTATGCATCAACATCAAGCACTTCTTTGTCCTTCGTGCTTTGCTCAACTTGTTTTGCAGCTGTTTTGAAGCTCTAGTCACTTTCGCAACTTATCGAATATTGGAATTCTGGATCATGCTGCTTTTCCTTCCTTTCTTTTGCCTTTTAAATTTTTTTATCATTGAGGTCGGATCTTTTTTTACTGTAGGCAGTGAAAATATTAGGAAAAGTGAAATTTCTCTGAAGCAACAGATGATATTTCAATATGTAAATTTATTTAATTCAATATTTTGCAGTTACCATAGAGTTTCTTCTTTTGTTTCGGTTGTTGTTTGTGTGGCATTTGCTCTTTGGTTGGGTTGTTGGTTGTTGTTCCACTTGCATTCCAACTATACGCAGTGAAAATCAAACAAGCCCCAAAAATGGAATAAGAAAATATACAGAGAAATGAAATGAGCAGTAGAAAATTAACTAATGTGTTGAGAGAGATATAACTTCTAAGAGAAAATTACCAATGACAGAGAAAATTATAATAAATAGAAATTTCTCTGAGTTATGATGGCACAAGGACATAACTTTTTGTGGCTCAAGATTTTCACTGACCTTGTGGTTGATGTTGTGTTGTGTGTGTTCGGTATGGTTGTGTTGCTAGTTGGACAGATAGTTCTTGAACTTGTTCATGTAATTTGGCATTTTCAATTTCAAGCTCCGAATTTGAAACACCTCAACTGTTGAATTGTTTTTGCATCGTCTGCTTTTTCAACCTCCAACATCCTTAGTTTCATTCGGATTGTGCTCTCTTTTTCTTGAAGTTCTGAGTTATGTGATGTCAGGATTCTTATTGAAATATCCTTTTCAGCAAGTAATTCCATCCAATTTCTGTCTTCTTCTTTTTTAGATTGAGACAGTGCCTTCAGTCTTTGACGTAGATCAGCAATTTGGGCATCCTTTGATTCCTCAATTCTTCAGGCTGATGCATTGTTGAGCCACAAATGCCATCATGTTGTTGTGTCCATCGGCTCATTATTTTTCTTCTTCATCACTTTCATCCTTGTCTCTTCTTCTTGTTCATCTTCATCTTCATCTTCTGTTCACTGTCTTCTTCTTTCTGTCATTTTTTTCTTTGTCTTCTGGTTCTATTTCTTCACTTTCTTTGGTGGTTTCTTCTTCTGTGCTGCTTGCTTGATGTCTTTGTCCATTGCTGGCTTCGTATTCTTCTGTGTTGCCTTCTTTTTGTTCATTCCCTCCATCTTCAGATGGATCTTTGTAATGTCTCCTTGAATATGACATTGCCTTTTTTAATTCTTTCTTCGTCTTTTTGCCAGAAGAACTCCTCAGATGGGTTTTTGACTAGTTGCTTGTTATCAATCTGTAAAGGAGACTCTTTTATTAAGAGAAATGTTACAAAATTCACTGAGGAAAAAATTCAAATAAGGAAAATAAAATTCATCTAAATGATACTAATTGGAAACAAACTTCAGAGAAAATTGTATTGGGCTAGAGAAAATTAGAGACATGGAGTTAATTTTATGGGGCAGAGAAAATTATGAAACAGTGAAATAAACAGTGTTTATAAGTTAATGTTTACTATATTTGTGTCAGAGAAATTTGAATTCCAGTGAAAATTCATTAGAAGGGTAGAAATAAACAGTGTTTATCAAAGATGCAAGGCACACAAGTTATGGGCAGAGAAAATTACACACAAGGAGATAAATTTGATGGGCCAGAGAAAATTATGTAACAAAGAACATAATTCAGATATTAGAGAAAATCAATCAGGGCATATAAGTTAATGTGTTACAATTGTGGTCAGAGAAATTTGGATGGCAGAGAAAATTGATTCAATGGCAGAAATAGACCAGTGGTAAGCAAGAAGAAAATAGGAAATTGATATTTCAGAGAAAATTAACTTAATCAATCAATGCACATGAGGGAAACAAAGCAGTGGTCAGAGAAATTTTGAAATTTCACTGAGATTTCAGTAGCAATAGGAATCAACCTGTCGAGGTGCAAGAGAGTGACTGGTGTCTTCTGCAGCTGTTTCGTCAAGGTTTGAAGGTTCCACTTGGCACATCTTGGGAAGTCTTGTTGTGTTACTGTCTTCTGAGTCAATGATAGTTGCATGTTCACATAGCCAATACTGTGATGAAAATGAAAGTAAATAAAATTTTGTAAACGCACAAATTTGTAAGTAGATAACTGCAAATTTGAATGGATATTATACTTACCAGCAATGCAATGACACACCCCGTAACTTTTTCTAGAGTTCTGTGCAATGCCATGATAGAATCAATCAATGTTGATGTGATTGCTTCCGGCCAATCATACTGTTTCATTGATTCAAGAGGTTCCACATACTTTATAAAAACCCAACCTATTGAATTCCCACTTGTTGCAAAAAATAGGGTGAGACACAAGTACAAATGTAACAATGATTGCTACATCTTTGAAGTCAGTTGGTTGCTTGCCTTTCATTGCTTTGACCAAGGCATTTTTAAGAACATGACCAGTGAGCCTTGTGTCCTTTTGGAATCTTCTCCTGAGGAATGCAGATTTTGACTTTTTAGAGTATCTTAATGACATGGCTCTTTACCTCCTTCCAAACCAAAAATCAAGGTCATGTCATTTGTTGTAAATGTCAGGTTCTTCTTCCCAACTGTGAATGCTTTTGTTTTTTCATTGTAACATTGATATGGCAACTACATCATCATCGGATTTCCTAGATTTCTTTGGATCCATCCTTCCAGTGTTAGAGCTTGGATCAAATACCAGAATGGGTCTTTTGAAGCTCTAGAAGATGTTTTGAACTGAATTTAAGTGTTTGAAAGAAGGAGACGACAGATGAGAGGTTGATCGGAATTGAATGCTGTAGTGAGCTCTCTTTCTGTGGAGTTTAACAAGTTTTTTCCCATTGAGCTTGAGTCTTTTGAAGTTGGGGTACTCATCTGGATGCTAGTTGCTTCATCAGCTTGGACTTGTGTGTTTTGGGAAGGAGTTTGTGGTGTTTTAGTGCTGGTTTTTGATCTTAGATGATAAGAGGACTGAGAGAGTTGTTCTTCTTCCTTGGTGTTC